TTATTATTTACTGGGATGCGAAATGTTATATTGGCTACTAATTCATAGTATTGTGCTCATAGATAATATTAGGCCAATGTTACACCAAGCTATAAACAATATTTGTTGTTACAAAGGCATCTACTCGTTTTACGTGGTTTCAAAAAAGGATCTATTTACGAACGTTATTCATGTTATGATTTAAAGTGCAACTTGGAATGAAACATTTATAGAGAAAATTGTCAGACTCTAACGAAGATTTTATGTGGACCTGCCGAATATTATATCGAAGTAAATCATGATTCTTATCCGTTTGGTGTCAGGGTAACCGAGTGTAATGTTTTATATTACGATATATAGAAATTACGTTTTTGCCATCGACTTCTGAATTAATTTGGCCATAAAGCGCCGGCACGTCACGAAATGCGAACCCCCAGGTTGGACGTATCAAATTCTGTGGTACTGGAACCGCGCGATGGTCCATTCCGGTTACAGCCAAACAAAAGAAAAACGACGAAGAAAAACGCACTTTTGGTTCATTCAAAATATTAATTAAAAACTTAATTTCCGGCGAAATTGAAGAATCGTACCTCCGGTTCGGAGGCTCCAATTAATTCTATTTAAATAGTCCTATGAATTTTTGTCTTGATTAGAATACTTCCATGGAACCTACAATTTAAATGTTTATCAAATTCGGTACTCACATTTCTTTGGATAACGTTTAATTATCGAAAAACTGGTTAAACACGACAGAGAAATCGCCCTGGCGAAAGCGCGCGCTTTGCTCTGGAACAAAAATTACGGCTAATTTTCGATCATTTCTGGAGACACGCCCTAAACAGTACCTGTGTGCCAATCTCTCGGCGATGATCTGAAGAATCACATGATGTTCTTTTTACGCTGAAAGCAAAGCATGCCGCGCGATAATCATCCAACCTAATTACAGCACGTTGAATCAATCCAGGAAGAAAAAACTCCCCGTGAAAGTTTGCATATACAGGATGTTCCAATCTTAACGTTTCAATGATAAGAATGTCTGAATTTACGATTTATCGTCGAATGTACTACTACTTTCTTATCCTCGTAACGAATGTCCAGAACTACTCTACAGTTGTCTATTATAAATTTATTATCAAGATAATATCTTACTTAATATTTAAACAAGTCAGTCTTGATATAGAGGGCAAATATTCATTAAAGTCTATTAATCGAAGTATATTAATCGAAGTATCCCTTATCGATATAAAAATCAATAGGACCGAATTCGACCGCGAGACAGAGTTCGTTAAAAATACGTTGACCTTCGCGTAGTCGATAATTATCGATAATTTCTTCGGCTGGACTCTAAACGTCGGGTTTACGGATCCTGTTTCGGTTCGGTCAGCGCTCGAAGCAATGCTCGCCGGCAAGTCAATATCTATCATTCTAATTAGACTCCGAATCGATCCTTGAATCGCTCGATGGACGACGTCGCGTTTGTGCGGGAACTGGGTAAAAACGTGAATAATCGCGCGACGTTAACGAGCGCGAGATTACGTGACGTGCGCGATAACGATTCGTTCCGATGCAATTACCGCAGTTGCATCGATCACACCCCTGGTTGTATGTGGTCAGATCCGATGCGAAGATAGGACGCTAATGTCTATTCGCACGACCTCGACGTCCGATCTCAGTTCCTGCCGACGATTTCCGCCGATACAGCCACGATAGCGATGCATCGATACCTTGATGAAAAATCGAACGACTCTATCGCGGGCTTGGGTTTGGTCGCTTTCACCTGACAAGATCGTCCTTAGCCAGTTACTTAATCGGGGATGTACGTTTTCTGCTACTGGGCGAAGTTCAATATCGATATTTACGTCTATTGTTTAAATGTGGGCATCTTAACGCGGTCTCACAGACGACTGGACATTATTTAATAATTCGCGACATTCGTTTATCGACTTATGAAATAATTCAGAAATTGGGTTAGTTTAAAGTGATAGTAACGGTAAACTGAACATCTCACGAGTGGGATACATATCTACTGAATTGCAGGACGAAAAGGCAGAGGGTGCCTTCGTGTTCTCTTTAGACAGGGAATTAGGCAAAAACAGTGCATCCTATTTCGATTCACAAAGTTGCGTGCAGAAGTAAAATAAAACTCCTTCGCGGAAGTCCTTTGAGTTCGTCGAAAGGACACCGAAAATTAACCAATTTAACCCGATCGTCAGTACGAACCTTTCTCGGCAAAGTATCGAACATCTTGCAGGTAAAAACAACGAAAAGGGAGATTTTAACAATCATCGAGCTCCTGTTCGCCGCTTTGCCGCGTAATCTCGATAAATCTGCCGGCTGGCAAGTTCACCCTTTTCTTCCGCCAAAGTGATTCTCAGGAAATCGCTTTGCCGGTAAAACTGGCCAACCCTTAGAAAGGACCAGGTATACGTATACCGTTCGTGCTCCTCGCCGAGTGCGAGCCCTCCCCACGTCCCAATTCAGCGCCAACTCCCAAACCCTCGGCCACTCTCGGGCACGGGTCTCGCAAAAGCGTTGCAGGAAGTGGCGAGGTCGGAAACGTCGCGACGCCTCTTAGGGCCTGGGAGTTCGAGTCGGATCGGTCAGGTCGGATCAATGGCCGCGCCCGGTCGATTCGGGGTGCCAATATCGCATAATAGAGTTCGGGCCCTTGACAGCGATATTTTACGAGAACAAGAAGAAGAATGGTTGCAGACGCGGCGGTGTGTGGTCCGGCACGTCCGGGCGGATGGCGATTAGCCCCGGGCCCCCTAATCCCTTTCCCTGTCCTTTTTTCTTCCTCTCCTTTTTCCCTTTCGAGGGAGCCGGGTCCGACACCGCACTCCGGGCCTTGCACGCATACTGGGCTCAGGGCACCGAGTAACTCTGCACACATCGCGCGAGGGCCCAGGACGTATCGAGTTACTTGCTAAGCAGTACAGTGGTAACCGAGACCGCGAACTGCACACCGGACCCATTGTTCCTCTCGCCTCTTCCCTAGGCGGGCCCCGGACCCGCAGCCACGGGGCCCTCTCTCTAAGCTCGCGACTTTAACGGGGCGAACGGTGCCGAGCGGTGTCACGCTGGCTCCTTCCGCGATTAGGGCCCTGCCCACGGTCCCTCGCCGGAGGACGAATCGTGAGATCTCTGGACTTAGGTCGAGGCTTTGGAGACAATAGGGCGCGACCTAAAATTGCCGAATTTCTTGCTACTCGGGTTGAAATCCCGCTTTATGAATTGTATCTCATGATTTCATCGTCAAAAGTGCGAGCATATAAGTATGGGACTATGCTTGGTAGTCTAGACTGGTGTAAACAATTATTAATCTTGAATTTGAAGAATCCTTGTACGGATGGAAATCAAAATTATCACCCCAGATTCTCGTGGATGCAATGATTGTTATTTTTTACAGATGCGAGGATGATTACTCGCTTAAGCGCACGTTTTGTTGCTAGAAATTGTGTCCAATTTAAATTCATTTTCGTTTTTTTCATTTCTTTGACCTTCTCTGAGAGATTGATATCTAGAGATAAACGACCTTCGCGGATTTTTTACACTCTTTTTTTTTTTATAGGAAGTTCGTATTTAAACATGCAAGTATCAAAGTGGTTAATACTAATTGTACAAACTATAACTCCTTGCATCTTTTTTCTAACTAAAACTGACTTTGGCTCGCCATTAAGATAAAGAATATAAAGGTTAACGTAATGCATGTCCTTTATAATAAATGAATGGTATCTTTTTCTTCTTAGTTTCCGTTATCGGAAACGCAACGGTTGTACGGATAGAGACTATGATTTATTTGCTGCTACCGAGTAATTGCCATAACATTTGCGGCAGCGGGATCAACACTAAATTCCAGTTAAATCTCCGACCGTTGCTCCTGGTACCATAGCATTAATTTAACCCCATTAAAAATGTATGTTTGTCGCGTCTTTGGGAAACGTCTTTTTAAATCGACTCTATCGCACTACTGATAGCAACTAAGAAAATGCATTAAGTTAAATTTGGATCCTCGCTTCGTAACGTAAAACGGACCGTCAAGGTAATTACCGTGCGTTACGTTAAGCGCTGTACCGGCTTCATTTACGCTAATTACCCTAGTTTTGTCCAACGGCAAGCTTCGGTTTATAAATCAGGTCGCATTCGGAGATTGGACTTATCCTTTTAAAAATGGCGCGTCCTCTTACCACGGCGCACTCGAAAGTAGGAAATGACGGTGCATCGGTGCACCTTTGAGGCGCGGCGACCCCACGATGGCCGACGTCCGTTCACGTTAATTGCACGCATGCACTCGCGCGTGTGCACCGCGATGTCGCGCACCTCGATTGGTTAATAATCATGCTCATTAGCATCTCCGCGGAAGATTGCGCGCCGGAGCGTTTCCGCGAGCAATCAGGCCTAATTGAGCATAATTAAACGCGCCTGCCGCGAATCATTCATCAGAAAGAACGGAGCTAAAGCGGGGACGCCGCGGATCTCGGAAAGGTTGCCAGAGTTCTGGGCACTCTGCAGGTATCTAATTATCGGCCATTATCTCGTCGACGGGACACGGGAGAGTATCTCGGGTGCTTCTTCTCGTTTATTAGTTCCGTAATAAGCTCGGCCACTTTTCTAAAATTGGGAAAAATGGGAAAACTTGTTTTTCTTTCAAGGACATGTCGCCGTCCTTTGGAACGAACGATACCTTTTAATTTGGAGATGGATCGTGAATATCTTTCATGGTTCCGTTCGCGTCTTCTTGTAAGAGGCCGATATCTTTCATTTCCGCGTTGAGTTTATTTTTGAAAAAAAAAAAAAAAACTACGACAGGTGAAAGATATCGGTCCGCACATGGGCCCACTTAACACTCATGACCCATGGGTGGCACATTCCGCAGCAGCGGGGGTGCGCGATAGGGCCCATCCGTTTATCATAGTGAGCCATAAGGTATAAGCCTTGCGCCGAGGGCGCAATAAAGCACGCGTCCGGCAGCTCTTCGATTCCGTACGCACCATTGGTCACGTAAGCGCGTTTCATTTCAGGGACCCCATGGAGCTGATGGAGCAGCAACTCGTGCGGTGCGGCGTACCCCCGGTGAGGCTCTACGAGCACCTCGGCATCTCGCCGCCGGCGGCGGCAGCGGCGTTGGGTGTCCAGCAACAGCAGCAACAGCAGCAGCAACAGCAACAACAGCAGCAGCACGAGGGCGGTGCCCCGCAGCATCCCGCGCACCCTCTGTCGCCCTGGCTTCCGCCCTCCACGGCCCTCCTCTACGGGGGGGTTCCGGGCAATCACGGGAGGGGCGGCACTCCATCCCCTTACCCGGGCACCCCCGGGTTCCCGTACACCGCCCTGGCGTGGCCCTGGCAACCCCCCGTGGCCATGATCTCCCGACGGTCGCCCCCCTCCTCGGCGACGGCCGCCGTGGTTGCCGCGGCCGCTGGGGTCAGGTACGCTCCTTACCCCCTGGCCGCCGCCACTCCGCCCCCCCTGCGGGCGCGCCCCACCACCCCCAATTAGCGGCCCCGAGGACCCCCGACCTCCCGAGGACCTCGCCGCGACCCTCACGGCGACTTTCGCTGAGCCAAAGAACTACTCTCTCGAGCGGGTATCCTAGAGATATGTAATTTATCGGTGCGTTCTGGAGCGGTAGGGTGGATCGAGACAAATTGGTTTTCTGGGTCGGGACGTAGTAACGGATTAAGGTGTTGCTAGATGTGCGTTGAAGGGTGTGGGGGGAGGGGGGGTGGAAAAGTGCCCGAGGATGGGTGATAAGGGATATCGCGAGGAGGAATCCGTGCTTTTTGTGGAAATAAAATTGAGGGGCTGTCGGAGGTTGATAGCTCGTGGAATCACTTTTCTCGGGCCTCTTATAGAATTATAGTTTGTTTTTGCAAGTTGTGATTTTAAGCATAGGTTCTAAAATTGTTATTTGTTGTGGCCAGGTTTATACATAAAATAAACTTTTTTTTTTTCGACGGGAATGAATCGTACCGTTCGTGAATTTGTATAAATCAGTGTTCCAGGGAATGTGGATACGTGGTCGATTGAGCAGGATTTTCATATTAACGTTACCGAATTTTTGCAGTTCATTTGAGATTACTGTTTTCATTTTGAAGTGGAATGAAGAGTTGAGCAATATAGAGAAAACACTTGACTCCACAAGAAATTCAATACAGATATGATGAACTGATTGGAACTTAAGCCGTACTGGTTGAACACTATTTACAGCTACTGTTGTACGCTATGAACATTGCCAGAATTAACCAATTAATCGTTCATGCTGTTTAATTGATGAATACCGGCATTGCGACGTCGAAATTATCATACATTTTTCTCTCTTGTTGAGAAACTCGGTAATGCATCGTAGAAAGATACATGAACGGATTTTAGGGCAGGGAATTCCTTGGTAATTACCGATCAGGTTGTAACAATCCTTTGGTGTTACGATATTAGCAGTGAAAGGTGATATTGCAGTAGAGGTTGAATTTAATAGAGATAAATGAAAAATTACTTTGTTTCGATCCATTCTACGGAGTAGACCTGAATAGTCCTCATTGTGCAATGCGCATGAGTGAAATAGGTACCTATGAGAAATTCCCAGTGGATTAAATTTACAAGATGTAATGAAACGTTCGTCACAAGGAGACCGGCAAACTTCTCGTGCGGTGTTACTAGTAGTCCCTAGAACGCAAGTACTTACGAATCATCCCAAATAGTTATTCAAAAGCTCGCATTGGAACCCACTGCCAAGCAGAATCGATTGTTTTACATTAATTCCGTTTCGTTGCCGTTTTGTTCGCCGTTTTGTCCGCCAAATATTACCACTACTAGTAGGGTAGAAACGACAAATCGCTAAATTTAAATTTAAATACCTCTATAAAATAATGATACGTTACAACAGTCTTGGCTGCACAACATTTGTCCTGTCTCTGTAGATGAAATTTTGTTACTCTCCTTTTTCAAGATCGTTCAAAGAAATAACAATTCAGATGTTGCGGAACATTCATTAAAAAGGCGTTCATTTCGCAAGATAATAATTTATTTTAATATCTGATTCGACAGGAAGCAACAGTGTATTGCTTAAATCGAAATGGCACAAAGGTACTGTCTCATTTTCTTCGGGATTATGCACGTTTTGTACGACAACCGTACGTGGTTCTGTCTTTCCACTACGACACGGACATGTAAATACGTAGATGCATAGCAAACGGAAACGAGTCGCGTGGATTGACGAAGGATTACCGTAACGTTTTGCCGTCGCTAATGTTAAAGTCACACTTATGCGTATTGCGCGCAACGTAGGTACCTATTTACAGGATGTGTATGCGTGCGAGTATGTATGGTCCGTGCAAGTCCCGTAAACGTTTGTAGAGAAAAAAAGGAAAACACGACAGAGGGAACGAAAATCGATAGTTGTATCATACCATAATAGTATTAATGCACCGCATCTCGAGACGGTGAGATCTGTACATAGCATGATCGTATTGTAGAGAGTATACCTTAAATGCCGTACCTTAGGTGTAGCACGACAGAAATAAAATCCATTTTCATTAAGCTCTCGTTGATCGCAGTTTTATCGGCTGTGCTCGTTCTCCGTTTTTGGCACGATAAATGGAAAATGAAAAATTTAACGACACACGGTACCGAGGAAAAAGGGGAGCAAGAAGTTCTGACGTTAATATTGTACCTTTCAGCTGAACAAGAATACCCGAATCGTCGATACCATATCCTCCTGGAACGGAACTATTAAAAATGAGCAAATACACGAAATAATATCTGCACACGCAGTACGCCGATTTTTAGTTCCTCAAAAAGTAGGTATGTCTGTATATTCTTTTTGAGATGGCTGCGGTGCGGGTCACTTTTGTTCCGATTCTCAGAAATTTGCATGACTGTTACAGGAAAATGAACCTTCTGTTTTGAGACCGGACCCATAAAACAGGTCGATAGGTAAGGCTTCTCTTTCAGCATTTTTATGGTGCGATTTGGTCAGGCCGTTAACGAGCCCGTTTGCGTCCAGTGATATTTGTCAGTAGGACCTATATCAATTTTATTTTTAGCATTTCGATTTATTTACAGTGACATTGTTTTAAAATCAGTGACAATTGCAGTACATACAAAATGAGTATATATTCCAATAGATAGTTTTCAAAAAGTCTAGTTTATGCGAGTATACTGTGCAGCACATAATTCATACTTCTGGCTGCAGCTCTTAATGGCGGCCTATTCTTGTTGCCAATAATTATTCATCCACGGTTGCTCGAATTTCGTGACAACGGCAAGAGTCGTGATACATCGCTGTAAAATATACTGCCCTGAATAATGAATCAACTCGCGCGACGTTCCATAGCCATGTTTCGGAATTTTCAGAAATATCCCACCGTACATGGCGATTTATTATCCTTTTACGGTGGCTCTCAAATATCCTCGGTTGCGGTCTCGCAATGTTCAAGACGGCTCGGAAACTTCTTGATTTTCTAAACCAATCGCATTCCTGCCACTCCTGCGGATCGGTTGACATTCCGTTTACGTGTACCCACACGCGCTCGTTTTAGCGACCACTCGCACGGCAGCTCGCTCGACGTCTCGGCGAGATATTAATTATCGAGCCGAGCCATTAATTCCGAAAATTACCATGGTGTCGTTAACTTCGGAAACGTTTTAATAAATTAACTATCCAAACTGGTAGCAGCCAAGGTAGACTGAATAAATTCTCGTCCCAGGTGTCTACGTGTTACGACGGATGTTGGCCGCTACTTAACGGTTTCGATTTATCGCCAGGACACTCAAAATCGTTGGCGTTGAAACGTTCACGGATCGTCGGGCTATCCAAAGTTGCTCGTGTCTTCGTTGCCTAAAGCGTACAGGTTGATTGGACGAAGATTGCCCTCTTGAACCGTCGACGGTGTTGACTGCGGATTGATGACGCCTTCGCTCCTCCACATGGTTTATGATTAGGGTCAAGGTTCACCAAGGATTTTCATTAATAATCAATATTAATAAACTGTAGCAGAATTTAATACGTATAATATATCACTAGCCGATCGTTCTTCCCCTGGAACGCCGTTACTTACTTTCTACGTAAAAGTACATACGAGGTGATGCGGTAGTATCGCGCACACAAAGGTGAGGAGGTAAGTCCAGTAATGGTTTTTATCAAAGATTTCCAAAGCAACGTCGGTGCTTATCTTTGAATTTAGAACCGGTAATTACGTGTGGCTCTAAATGCTAATTCCAATGTACGAGGCGTAACTCGTTATTTATCATATTTTTAACGTAATGCCTTCATAGCACATAACATGGATTGAATTTGGTTCCCAGAGAGGACAAAAATTCTAGTTTTATTCATAAAGAGATGTTCTTAGAACAAAGTTCATTGTAATTTACCCTGAAAAAATCGAGGAAAATTTACATACATTTTTACACCCTGCATAACTGAAGTTTTATATGAAAAAACGTAAAATGGAAAAATTACAAATAATAATATGTATTTGACATTGTATATTTACTGCATTACTGCAGTTTTACTTGAATTAAAATGTAACATTACATTGTCATTTTTCTTGTGGCATGTAAGACCTTTCCAATGTATGTACATCTACAGGTTACCTAGTCAACTTACATATTGTAGCGGATAAATTTACGCTGCTGCGTGAAAATACATAATATGTAAACTTAACCAATCAAATTGTCTAAATTCAATCACGTGATCCCCACGCGTATTTTCGTTTGAGAACAATGCCAAACACGTCGAAATGGGTCCAGCATAGATGGCGCGGCGTGGCGCATCATTAGTTGTTACCTTCGTTTGGGTGGTGAAGATTCCGGCAATCTCCGGAGCTGACTTTCCTCAGTCCAGTGCCATCGAATCGACGCGAAAGAAGTAAGTACCTACCCAGGAAAGTGTCTTACAATTATGGTTACTTTTTCATGTAGAATATGTTTTAATAAGTTAACGTCTGGGTTAACATACAAGACCCGTCAATATTATCACCGATTGGAAGATTGCACCTCAAATTTACACACATAATGTAGACCAATTGTACATTTTACATGTAAAATTACCCTTTATGTTTACATATCAAATATACGCCTAAAGTATATTCTTTGGGAAAATTTAGATGCCGAATGTGATATTACCCAGGCAATGTAATTTTACATTATTAATAGTGGCATCAAAATAATCAATAATCTAGAGTGTAAATTTACATGGGAATGTTTGGCAGTGTACATTAATAAAATAATATTTCAGATCAGTTTGTCTTCGTTCTACCGCCATCCGTTCGGTAATTTATTAAGAAAATGTGGCACATCTGGTCCCTTCGTATCCAAATTTCGTCCTTGTTTTATCACCTTCACCTTTGTATTGCAAATAAGTAAAACAAGATGCGCAGGTAAATGCGTGGGCACTTAAAAATTTTCATTAGCGTGCTGTGCTTTTGACGTGTCGGGGTCTTGTAGAGATATAGACGCGCCTGAATTTCCTCGACGTCCGAATACAGCCAAGATGGATGAAG